TGTAGGAGCACTGATGTCACACATCCAGAACGTTCGTCAACGGTTTGTGTGAACGGTTTGTGAGGATCAGGAAGACCCAAAGTCGGAGGAACTTGTAACGCGCATTTCATGTCCGTGAAAGCTTGAGAGGCTGCAGGGAGCCACTGAATTTTATCATGCGCGCTGAGATTTTTTCCATGTATCAATGCGGACAGAGGTTGCTCGAGTTGGGAGTAATTTGGAATAAATGACCTACAGTAGGAACACATTCCCAAAAATGACATCATCTGTTTCTTGGTTTGTGGTTTTGGAAGTGTTACAATTGAGGCAATGCGTTTTGGTGATAGTGTCTTCCCTTCACCGGAAATGTTATGGCCTAGGAAATTAACGTTTTGTGAAACAAACTGTAGTTTGGATAGGCTGGCCTTGTGTCCTTCCGCTGCTAAGTGTTGAAGCAATTTGAGTGCGTCCTGTTCACACTGCTTTTGTGTTGGAGCTGCAATTAAACAGTCATCAACATACTGCAAAAGAGCTGTTCCTGGAGACAAAGTGAGGCTCTCCAAACTTTCCCTGAGTGCCTCGTTGTAGATCGTAGGTGATTCTGTGTAGCCCTGACACAAGCGTGTGAAAGTGTAAGGCTTGCCATTGAAATTAAACGCAAACCAAAACTGACTGTCAATGTCCACAGGGACACTGAAAAAAAGCATTTGAGAGGAAAACCATCGAGCATCAGGTGGAACCTGTGCCATAATGGTGTAAGGGTTGGGAACATTTGGGGCTCGTGCGTGGACGGCTGCATTAACTGCTTTTAGGTCCTGCACGAAGCGCCACTCAGTTGGTTTGCCTGCATCTCTGATCTTTTTAACTGGAAAAATAGGTGTTCTTACCGGCGAGTCAGGACATGGAACAATGACTCCGGCCTTTAAGAGGGAGTTGAACACCGGTGTTATACCGTCAATGGCCTCTTGGCGCAGTGGGTATTGATGTTTGTGGGGACGGAAGTCTGATCGAGGAGTGATGACCACAGGTTGACATTTTTTGATGAGTCCCACGTCATATTTATGCGCTGCCCACAAGGTGTCTGGGACAGAACTGAGGGCAGGAGAAATAGAGGAGACATTAGTCAAAAATGTATCAGTGTGTGTGTCAGAAAATATGTTATTTTCATCCATGACATAAACAGATCTGAGAGCAGGTGTGCAAAATGCGAATGGCTGTTTAAAGAAGCCTGTCGACGGAGAGCGCATCACAAGTGGATCTGGTGTAGCCTCCCAATCTGCCAATGCCTCGCACGCTGCGACAAAAGGACCCAAATCTCTCCATTGGTCTGTTGCTGCTTTAGACAAGGAGATGTGTGGGAAAGAAGAGTCCACATCAAAGAGGTGCTGCTGAGAGGGGGTGAGAAAAACGGAAACAGCACATTTAAGTGTGGACCAAAACAATGTCATACATGCAATTTGATCATTCAGATCCTGTAGAAATAATGCATCATATTGCTTATCTGGCCCATGTGACACATGAGCTGTGCAGTGGAGATATGAAGCATCCATGCACTCTGCCTCAGACTGGACGCGTGATGCTGCCAGGTGGGACAGTTCTGATTGTGAGTCAACCGGAAGCCACCACTGGTACACAAACATTGGATCACTTATAACTGTATTTGCCATCTGGTCAATGGCTCTGCATCTCACCACTTGCAACCCTGTAGGAGTGGAGATGAGGCTAATGCCGAAAGAACACATGAGGTCTCTGCCCATTAGATTAATGGGACAGCAAGAGGACAGCATAAAGGAATGTTTTACTGTGATGTCTGGTTCAGGGTCAGTTGAGTCAGTGTGTGTACTGGTCATAGGTGCTGTAAATCTCTCTACAATAGTCATCCCTGAAGCTCCTTGTGAGAAAACCTGTTTTCCACTAAGTTTCTGACCTGGAAAATACTTCTGTTGTATTACAGAATGTGTAGCCCCCGAATCAACCAAAAACGATAAAAGTTTCCCTTGAATTTGCACCATAGTGGTGGGCATATTTTCAAATGATTTTCCTGAAAACTTTGCATATGTGTGTTTAAGTGAAAGCTTTTGTTGTGTTCTCAATTGCTCTGTGATGTCCACGAGAGCTTGTTGTTGCTCCAGTGTGTGTGTGTGAGTGTGCGTGCAGGGAGTTAGTGCAGAAAGCGTTTCTTCATTGCAGGCTGCGGTGTGTGTGTGTTTTACTTCCCTTATCATGTGAGGCCTCAGCATGGTTGCCGTCTCCCCCTCACATGCAGCCTCCTCCCCCTCCGCCTCACGTCAATCGGAATGTGCGTTGCCACCCCCAAGCCGTGAGTGCGTCTCTGTACGGCTTATTTTGATTTGTACTCCATTCAACGTCGGCCGCACTGGTGTCTCCTGCAACCAGCTGGTTGAGCTTTTGGTAGTGAGTCGGACCCACGTGACTCATTAGAACACGTCGAATTTCAGCAAAGTTGGGCAGGAATTGCTTACAGAAGTCCATGAATGCTTCAGCAAACAGTCTTCCCGAGTGCTGTATCGGCGGGAGATGAGCCATTGCAGCTCTAATGTCCGTATCAGTCCAAGGCTGGAAAACAAGTATGGGACCTGAGTGTCCTGGTACTTGAATCATTGGGGTTTGGAGCACAGATTTTGCATCCGGGGGAACTCCCTCTGGGTCGAAAGAGGGGGAAAAAACATCTGATGTAGATGGTTGCTCTGCAATCAGTTTGTTGATGGCAGAAGTGTCCCCTCCGGTTGCTCCTGGAGAGCGAGATCGAGTGAGGAGAGCAGCCTGTCTCTTTTCCTCCTCTTCGCCGAGGAGTCGTTCCTGTGCTGCTTTCACTGCCGCTTCCTTTTCCTCCCTCTGCCGGGTGTAGTGAACTTTTGGAGCTTGTGACCATGCAGACGAAGGTTGCTGGTTCGCAGGTGAAGCAGGGTACGGTGGTGGGCATGTGTTGAGGAGAGGGCCCCCAGCCCCTGTGAGACTCGGATACAAGGGAGAAGAAGCACATCGGTCATTTTGTTCAATAACATTTGAATCCACTATTTACTAGTCCATAGATCACTGGGTTGCATGGCACAATTTTCACAAAACTCCACACGTTATGACCTAATCGATTTTGTCTATTGCTTTGCAGATTTCACAGGTTTAAAATCATACCTGCAACAAGTCAACAAAGTTAAAGATGTTGCAGTAAACCTCAGAAATGTTTATTTTAACATTGTTGAGCCTGTTTGCACATTTACATTTAAATGCTCATATATTGCATCCCATATACTTTTACTAATGGTACCTCTATATTAGACATCAGTTGATCAGTATCAGACGTTTACCTATATTAAATATGAGTGTGCATTTTTATTAATTGCAGCTTTGGTTAAAAGTGAAACACGAGCCGATTTTGTCGCTCAGTTTAATTTTGTAAACGTAGCTGCGTTTTTCTCCTTTTCTGTGGAATATTTTTTCATTAAAGATCAAAGCAGCAGAGACAATGATACCTTTTTAAATCTATTAAATGGTACTACAAAAATAACCCAAATGTCATAGCTTGTAACCTCTGTTGGACTGACTGTGTAAATGTAAAAAGCAAACTGTCCTCTTGCCCTTTTAGTGGACGTCCAGGAGGAAGGGATGAGCGGCGTGCAGCTGGTCGTCACCCTCCTCTTCTCTTCTCTTCTCAAGCGCTTCTACTGACGAGAGAGAGAGAGAGAGAGAGAGAGAGAGAGAGAGAGAGAGAGAGAGAGAGAGAGCGTTTCCTACCTCATTACATCCACAAATATATAGAGCCAAATGTATGACACTTTAAATATGTATGTTGCGTTTGATTATCAAATTTCTTGGAGTGGTTTATTTGTTTTGTTTATTTTTTAATTGCATTCATTATACCTTTATTTAATGTCATTTGGCAACTATTTTCCCGTCCTCCAAATACAAAGTTTACATATACATATGTTTGTAAAGTGGATGTAATTTGCGTGCCGTGTGTAAAGTACGTCGCACATTGTGAGACACGTGGGTCCGCAGCAGAGGCCGAAGGCGGCCAGCAGGTGTCGCCATCGCGCCGCTCGTTGTTCCTCCTTCATGCTCACGCGACCAATAGACTCCTGCTTCTGTCCAACAGTCAGGGAGCCGTTGATTCAAAACAAGTTGTGATGGTTAACGGTCCGTAGTTTTCAGTTATGATTAACCAGTTGCCGGAATTGAAAAGCATGACACGCGTAGAAACGGGAACCAAGAGGGAAACAACGTTAGCAACTGAAACACTGTTACATTTGAATTGAGTTCTCTTCGGCCAGAAGGTGACGGCTGGGCTGAGATATTTAGACTGTTTTTTTAAGACGACGTCTGGACAATAAGTTCCCCGGCACTACAAAGATGAACGATCCCAGGTCTTCAAGCAAAGGCTCGGGTTATTTAAAAAGTTAATCCAGTTAACACAGGTGTTAAGACTGCGGTGAATAAGCGCGCGTCTCTTCTTTTTCCCCACTTAAAATGTCTTTCAAGTCATGTCTATAACGTTAGTTCGGTTAACCAAGTTGGTTAACCTGTGACAAAACATTAGCAACAAGTCCATCATTGGTTAAATAATAATTCATATTACGGTAGTTAACGGTTAGCTGCATTACAGATTAGCTAATGTTAGCTAACGCTAAACAACGTCACTGCTTCGGCAGTTTGTAACGTTAGCTAACGCTAACCAAACATAACGTCACTGCTTCCTCAATCGGGCAGTTTGTAACGTTAGCCAACTGTCCAGTAAAACAATTAATACAAATGTAATGACTCCAGCTGATTTGGTGGTATTACACTAAACCGTAACCTCTCAGTTAAATACTGTTAATGTGAATTATACACTAATGGCATTTAGTTGGCCATTAGTGGCGATTCGAGATGATCCATCTTGAACAAAGCACCGTCTACATTTCCAGAGAAAGTGTCTGAGGCGAAGGACGGAGCTGCAGGTCCGGTCAGGGACGACTTCCACCAACCTGCGAGGAAATGGTCTGACAGTCAACTGAAGGTACTGCAACAACTCCCCATTCGAAAACAAACCTTTTTAAAAAGCGACACGTTGAGTTCATATTTGATGCATTATGAAAAAACGTGATCAAAACTGCAAGAATTCAGCCAAACAACTTCTCTCGTCCTGGTAGATTTATTTGTCAGATCACAAGTATCCGCGCTGCGTTTGCAAAGGCAGGAGAACAACTGACCAAACATCAGGAAAAACATTGTGTCTCTAATTCTCATCCTTATCAGACCCGTTTGCCTGGTTGGCGCTTGCTGACCTCGCACTCCTCAACCAGGACAAGACCCCGACTCCCTAAATGAGCAGTGGGAAAAACGTTTTTGATTCTCAATTATTGTTTTATCCTTATGTCATTCAGAAAAAAATCAAACAAGCGGAGGCTAGAAATCAACGTCTGATCAGAGAGCAGAACCGACTACGGTTCGCCGTGACTGAAAAGGAGGCCGCGGTGAAGCTGCTGCGGAAGACGCTGAGGGACAAAAGCGTCAGGCCACCTGGTTACAACGGTGAAGACTCATGCGAGCAGGTGAAGAGCGCATGTGAACACGCATCTCAACATAGAAGCAGTGACGCACACAACTTGCCCCCTTGAGTCTGTGTGCTAAGTCGGGGCATGATGACAGACCCGCGCTCCCTCTAAGGCACATATGTCAGAGTCAAGAGAAGGTTTTTTACGGCCCCTGGGATGATCTTGATTTATTATTAGAACCGGCCCGCAGACCGCAGCAAGCCGGCAGCCCGCAGATCTTTTACACGCACCAATACTACATTTCCCACAATGCAACGGTGACGCACCGAGCAGTAGGCTGCTTCATTTCAATATTTATTGGCACAGCAGTTGTCAGCATCACAGTAAAATTAACTTTCAGATACCCATCAAAAATGGCAAAACGGAAGGTGGACACTGAGAACCGGGGGTTTCAAACAAGGTGGGAGTCGGAGTATTTGTTCACGGAGGTAGCTGGAAAACCTGTGTGTCTTCTGTGTGGAGAAAGTGTGGCGGTACTGAAAGAGTATAATCTGCGTTCCCGAGCGCACAGTTGGCTGATAAAATAGGTATGCTTGCCGCTGACTTTCGACGCCGATTTGCTGACTTTGAAGCACAAAAAAGCAGGTTGGAACTGCTCGGTAACCCATTTGCTGTTGACGTGGAAAGCTCACCACCAAACCTCCAAATGGAGTTGATTGACCTCCAATGCAATGATGCACTGAGGGCAAAATATGCGGCAGTGGGTGCTGCGGAGTTCGCCCGTTTCCTCCCCGACACAATGCCCCAGCTGCGCATCCAGGCTGCTCAAACGTTGTCTATGTTTGGCAGCACATACCTGTGTGAACAACTGTTTTCTTTGATGAACTTGAACAAAACATCACACAGAAGTCGACTTACTGCTGAACACCTCCACTCAATTCTGAGGATTTCCTCAGCTCAGAGCCTTACCCCGAACATTGATGAACTTGTGGAAAAGATGGGACACCACCAAGTATCACCCTCAACCTCAAACAAGTGAACATTACTGTGCAATCACATATTTAGAGTTTTTACTCAGTTCAAGTTTAAAAGTTAAAGTTTAATATTTGTTTTCACTGCATGTTACTTCTCCTTAAACAAAGTGTTGTTTTTGATTAATAGATTTTTGCACTTTATTTTATTGTATTTCAATCCAATTATATTTTAAAATTATTTCAGTTGAGTGGATGATAGAAAATTGCTATTATTGTTTTTTTCTTTGAAGTAAATTTAGCCCACTTTTGCTAAAATAGAAAATATAGGCTACTGATGGTGCCTTGAATACCGGTTTCTTTCATTTAATGTTCATGTTATGGGGATTTTTATATAAAGGAAATTTGTCTTTTGTGTCTGTTGAAAATTAAAGATTACTGACAGAGCCATAAGAAAATATTGCTTTATTTATCTGATCATATTGGAATATATTTGTTAGGTTTTCAGTAGGTTCAATTAGGTTCACTAGACTATATGCGTCATTTAAACATTTTTCAATGAACATTCGGCCCTCGGCTTGTAGCTAAATTTTTTATTTGGCCCTCCGTCCATTTGACTTTGACACCCCTGCTCTAAGGACACCGGTGCTGCCAGCGTCACACGTTTGGCTGCAATATGCCTGGAATGAGGGAGACGTTGAGTTCATGTACATTTAATGCAGCGCCAGAGTCACTCACCAGTTACCAGTGTACTTATCAATGGTACCAATGCACTGAATGCCAGTTTAAACGACGGCGCATAAAAACAACTGGATGGAGCTGAAGGCCGCGGTACCGTGGAAACATGTATGCCCCCCCCAGCAAACACATATTGATTTGAATACTTCCGCTAAATGCAGTGTCCATTTTTGTATCTGGAGCATCCACTCCAGATGTGCTGCTGCATCGTCGCCCCGCTCTGTACCGGATGGTACTTCCCCTGCGGAGACAAGTTTTAACTACACATTCAATCATTTGGTGTTCGCCCCCACCGACATGTTCCAATTTGCTTGACTATTTTTGTAAAAATGTACTATCAACTAAATATCTAGCTCACGCTAGATGTATTTAGTTACATAAAGCTATTTTAAGCTTTTTGTTTAACTTGTTTTAATGTTTCAATCCATTTTCTTAATTGTTTTTAAATTTCCCCTTTCTATTCATTTCTATGGTTTTAACCGTTTTTCCCGTCATATTGTTGATAACACACTACGGCCTTTTCCCTTCATTTACTTAATATCAGCGCAAACGGCAGCTGGAGAACAACATTGACAAGATGAGAATGAAGGTCACCGGGGTGAAGGAACTCCAAAAGACCTACCAGCACATCCATGACCACCTGCAGCAGGTGAGCTCTGCTGTTGGATACGCTGAAAGCAGGCGGTAGTCAAAGGACTTCACCGATAGTAGCTTATCAATATGGAGATACTTTTTTCTATTTACACTCAAAGGGGATTACATAATGTCATGAAAGTACACCGATAACTGAAACCACGCTCTCGATGTCTGCAGACATGTCAGCGATACGTCTAATCACACTTTGCAGTGCAGCCTTGTTGAGCTCAGGCTCATCAGCTAAAGAGCCTCAATAACTATCTGTCTTTATTTACTGCAGCTACTCCAGTTGATCCAGGACACCTGTAGCAGTGTGCAGTCTTGTTTCTAACAGGAAGTAACTAGCCAGCCCATTTATCAAGTACAACTTGACATATTTGACACATTTCTTAATGTTTTCAGTTACAAAAGTAGATGAAACATTACACAATAGCCTTTGGTCAGGAAACCAGAGAAGCTGTAAGGAAGACGCACGTATTGGATGAATCTATTGTAAACCACCACCGCGTCATTGAGCCGATGCTTGTGGTCTGTAATGTGGTCAGGAGGTCCGTGAGATGGAGCAGGCGCGCGGCCGCAAAGAGCACGCCGTCAGCACCGGACGGGCAGAGGTGGAGAGACTAAGCAGACAGCTCCAGGCAGAAGCAGCAGCTTTGGAGAGCTCACAGGTGAGACCGCCCCACCACTACGCCCAGCGCAAGCCCCCCACAGCGGCTCTGACGGGAGTCTGCATTGCCTTTATCCTGATATATGAAGGAACCTGGATTGAAAATGGCCGCACAAGTTGCAGCTCTCCTTTCAGCACCATCGACCGTATCTTATGAAATTAGCGGCCTGAAGAAGTACAACTTATTTGTGTGTGTGTGTGTGTGGTGATTGATGATCTTTCTGACACCTGTCACATTGCAGAGGTGGCAAACAGTGCGGGGGGGCTGGTCAGTCCGCCGGTGCTCTGGTAGAGGAAAACCCTGATGGGCCGCTGTATTTATATAAGCAGAGTTGTTGTTAAAGTCATTTGAAACATGGTTTTCTTGTTGTTATTTCTCTCTTTCTGCCACTCAGGGCAGGTTGGACGAGTTGCTGAGGAAGAAAGAAGAAATGAAGCTTGACCAACTGAATGCAGAAGAAAGGAATCTGAACAGGACACCCGAGAATCAGAAAGGGCGGGTAAGAAGGGAAAAGGAACTAATTCTTGGGTGAAAACAAATGAGATGAATCGCTTTGTTAAAAATAAGTTGTTTCTGCTGCTTCTTTGGTTGCCGGGCCATTTTTCTCATGCAGGAAATTGATGGTGATGAAGAAAAGGAAGAAGGAGCGCACTCATTTCATGTCACAGGTACTGTAGTCCCACGCTGCAGAGGCAGGTATTCGTACATGTCTAAACTTTACAGTTTCCTGGAATTGAGAAGAATCTTAATTCACTGTGTGCACATACAAGGCAGATGGATTCCATCTAATTATGTTCACAATAAAAAAAACTACAGTTACATCCTGTGTCACTGCTTATCAGCTTACAAGGTTTCATTCACTTTTTCAGTGTACGACTGGGATGAACAACATGAGTCAGATTGTGTCCCAATTTACTGCATAGAAAAGAAACAACAGGTCGATGTCTTTTAATATCGCTTAAGCTCTTTACAGGCTCCTCTCTAACTTGCTCCACCTCAGCTCCATTGTAGACAGGGATATGTGTCTTCACCTCCTTTTATCTGAAATCAACACTCTATCTACTCTATTTAGAATCCGGAGAAGGAAAGTAAAGACGCTGTTTACGTATAGGAGACCTGTCAGTCACAGTAAGCCTCATAGGAGCATCATTTACTAAATAAACATGATGCTGGGCTGCAGGAGACTTTCTAAGAATACTTTATCAACACTAATACATGTACATCAGGGGTTTGGAGCATTATGAGCGCTTGTGTGTCACAACAATGTGAGCATAAAAGAGTTGTGTCATCGAGTGTCGCCCTCTGCAGATCATCAGCCTTGTGACGTCAGTGGCGCTTCCCAGTCCGACAGGAAGCTGGTGGAGGACATGGAGGCTCTGCGAGAAGCTCTGGGCGTCTGTCATGTGCAGGTAGATCCTCATCCTTGTGCTTTTAGTGAGTTTCTTGGTCAGATGCAGCGAAACGATTCAGCCAGAGTCAGTGGGAAGTAGCCGGGCAACAAATGAGGTGCTAGAAAACTCGAACCAACCCTAAAACTAAGGGAGCTGAATGATGCAGTCAATCATGTGTCATTCATATCCCACGGACGTTACAGAGGTATGGATCTACTCATCCAACTCCCAGTAAGAAAGCACATTCACCAAACTCTTTCTCTTAGGGAGACATTGTCTAATTTTAAGGAATTCAGTGAGCATCAGAGCAGTCAGCATCGCATTTGCTGATTTGTTGATTTATGAAGACACATTTTGTCCATTTATTATTAGTATTGCCTCTTTTGCACTGTGACAAGCTGCAAATATGCACAAAAAACATGCCGGAGAAATTGGTGACAGAAAGCCGGGGCCCATTACTAATAAATGATGGCCTAATTAATTTGCCTGTCCGTCTTAATAAAACTGTTGTATTTATGGATATTTATGGCAGAAATGGAAGATATGATGTCCTCTTTATCTATATTGGGCTGTAATGGAGAATTGTTCTTCAAGTGAGTCCATGTTGCATCACCACGTTTCTACGGTAGCCCAGAAAGGACAAAAACCAAACACTGGCCATGCAGAGAGCCTTTTCATTTTTTAACGTTACCGTAAGACCACCGTGGTTCTCCTTGTGACGCGCCGCCGTGAGAGCGCTCTGTGAAGAGCAACCTGCCGGCTCGCCACTGGAGGCCGCTGATCTCTCCGTGCGCCTCCTTCAACAGGAAATAGGTCCCAGAGTGGCGTCTCTGTGGGCCACCAAGGAGCGGCTCCTCGCCGAGGTGACCCGGTACCAGGACGAGATCAGGCAGGGGGCCAAAGCCTTCGCCGAGCTGGAGCTCCAGCACACCAAGCTCAAGTTCACACCTTCAGCCACGAGGTACCGTCAGAGAGGAATCAGTTGGTTGCGTACTGCGTTGATGGACAATCAAGCCGCAATTCTCAAGCAGTTGGTAGCGGTCGTGATTCAGTAGTGAACTCGCTACGCTAATATTTCTAATACAGTCGGCAGCCTGCTGTTAGTATGCTGTAAGTATAGTAAGTAGTGCTGTCCCTGTCTGTGTTGTTGTTGTTGTTTAGGTCAGACGAGCTGAGGGCAGAAGTGAAGGCCGAGCAGGATGAGAAAGCGCTGCGTGTTCAGCGACTGCAGGCCGATCTGAAGCGGTCTCAGGCCCTGTTGGACACTGCGGAGCGGGGGGTCAACAACCTGCACTTCAGGATGAGCTGCGTCCCCGTAGAGGTCCGGACGTCTCGTTGTTCGCGTCATGTTCGGATGGTTCTCTTTGGAGCTTCCTGTTCTAGTCGGCTTCTTGTCAGCGTCACAGCGCTGTAGTTTGCTTGTTTGATTGTCCATCGATATCTTTCAGGGGCTGTCCAGTGAGTCCCCTACCGATAGCATGGAGACACTGAAGGACATCAGAGCCCGTCTGCCAATGTTACTACAAAGAGCATCGGAGCAGGAAGCCGACAGCGGCTTGGACCAAGAGACGGTGCTGCAATTCTCTCATACCTTTCTTGTTTTATTGGTAAAAGATGCTGCAGGTATAATGTGTTGTGTATGATGTTTGCTGATGTTATTATTATAGTTTTTTTTGGTCCTTTAACACTAAGATACCCAAATGTTGCACAGACTGTCCCTGAGAATATTGATTCACAGCATTCTATTACTTTGTACGTGTCTCCCCCATCGAATAAACAAATTGGACTGGATAGAAGTTACTTTGTTTACCTCGAATTTCAGCTGCGTCCGCCTTTTTCCTAAAAGTGTTTCATCGGTACGCCCATGAGCCGTTTTTTGCTAAGCCTGTTAACCCCCCACCACCTTTGCCTCTGCGTCTTCTTCCTCCTCAGGTTTACACTTTATGCGAACAGCTCAACGCGATGGAGTCAAGGAACGCCAAGGCACTAAGCATCCCTACAGGCGAGTGTAACAAAGGCCCTTTTCCCTCGGCCCATAAAACCCAGGAGAACCTGCTACCAGTAGACAATAGACTACTTTTCCTTTGCTGAGTTGAGCTTTGCTTTCCTGAGATGTTGTGGTGAATACGCTATACTGTGTGTGTGTGTGTGTGTGTGTGTGTGTGTGTGTGTGTGTGTGTGTGTGTGTGTGTGTGTGTGTGTGTGTGTGTATATATATATATATATATATATATATATATACACCCACAATATAGAGGTATATGTATGTATATTTCAGGAATTGCATTCAACGCTCCAATTTCAAAGGCCATCTGTCTTAACCAAGTGTCTCCGCCTCACAGACGCGTCCCATCTCAGCGGCGGTGAAGAGGACAGCGCTCCGTCCCGCGCTGAGATCAAACGCCGCAGCAGCAGGCTGATTGAAGCCGGGCGGAAGAAGTCATCGAGAGGCAGGAGGAAGCAGTAGAGACTTGCAGCCCCAACTCTTGACACAAAGACACAAATTTGACTCGCGTGGCGTCACACTAACTGCAAGATTCTTACCTACAAGTTATTTTTTCACTTGAGACAACAGTGTTTATGTATATTTTCTGATATTTTCCCTTTTTTAAAAGTGACACGCCCACAGCGACCCGGCATGCTGACCCATGATCACAGTCTTCAGTAGATCTGGGTCACATTAGCAATGTGTATTACCACCACTTTGCTTGAAACATAGAAATTTAGAAATGTGCCACTGACACACTTGACCTGATTATTGGGTTTAATCTGTCAAATGTCATCAATAAGTCTCCTTCATCATATGAAATAAACAAAAAACAATACTTATCTGGTTCTGTTCAGTTTTTCTGTCATTGTCAAATCAGGGTTTACGACGTTAGAAAGATGTGAATAAAAGCTACTGACAGCAGCACGGTGAGCCATGAGAAACATGGTGTCGGAAGGTTCTCTGTGTGCATAAAAACCCTGGAGGAACCAGCTTGTAAGGCTGCTCTGCAGATGCTTACCGGTAACCGGTGTGGATCTAGTGCACGATGTGACTCGGTGATGTGACTTATTGTCTGTAGGCGAGGTGTTGCCAGGAGAGAGGCAGCCAAGTGGGAGGAGGTGAACTGAACAGCCAAGTGGAAAAAAACACTTCAAACACACGAAACAATAAAAGGAACAAACTAGCTTAATAAGAGAGCTAATATTTTATATATAATATAAGTTTTGCCTTCAGGCCTGCCTGAGGGTATATTCTTAACCATAGTTAATAAACATTAAGGGACAGCTGCTTCCTCTCACCTGTAAAGCTTTTTCTAAATCTGGATAGTAAAGATGTGAGGTGCTGGGTTTTGGAGAATTTGCCCGTAGCGATCAATGATGACTCTCCGATGTAAGGGGACAAAACGCCACTCTGCTTGTCCCGGCTTAAAACTGGTCAAATTAACTCTACTGTCTTTTTCTAACTCCAGTTTGCAACGGAGCGAGAGATGAAACAATAAATGGCGTCCTGCTCAGCCGACCTTTGATGGCGGTAGTTCAGCTCGCCGTACCGACTGAACAACTAACACCAGCCTAGCAACTCACACCCCGAAAAAGAAAAGAATTTAGATTAAAGTCGCTGCCACTCAGCGACGGGCCCGTGTAGTTTAATTAAGGAAACGGTTAGCATGAAGAACATAGCATGGTTAGCTAACTAGCGCCATAAACGTCGTCCATCTTCCCGCTTCAGACTTGACTCAAAGCCGGGGGACGTCATTCACTGCGGCAACGGACAAATGAGGAAAGTCAAACGCGGCTTCACGCGTTCACGTTGTTCCTTTTAACCACAAATGAAGACCGACACGTCATTAGCCACGTCCGCTCAGAGAGAGCCTTGATTTTATTTGTAGGAGTGCCGTTGCTCGTCTCCATCTGAGCGCTGGTCGTCCTCCTGCGGCTGCTCTTCTCTCTCGGGGGCTTTTGCTCTTATATATTGTTGAGGTGAAGCACAGCGGGTCACACAGGTAAGCAGGTCGCTGCGAATCCCTCGGGCTTCGGCACGTGGCTCGCCGCCCCGCCAGTCGGCCCTTTGAGACGTCAGGCGCGTGCAGGCGAGAGACGGCAAACCGGATAAATGTTTTTCTTCCTCCAACTCCATCACGTCCTGCTTTAATTCAATCATCACTAGAAAAAAACGGTATACTCACGCTGCCCCTTCTTTTATCCGTCACTTAGTTGATGACTTTTTAGCATCAGTCATTTTCCGTCATTGTGTTAGTTGCATTGCTCAAGTCTTTTATTTCTTGGCTGCCTCACGTTCATTTGCCGTTTGTTTTTCCGGCTGCTTTCACAGCAGAAGTTACCTTCCATAGCGCGTGCGATCATTCCTGTCCTACTGCTAAAACAAGATGCTTTCAGCTTTGCGTTTAGCATGCCGACATCAGAGCGATCCAACCTTTAACGTTGTATAAGGCCAGTTTAATTATCGACTCGAGATATGAAGTTGTATTCATTGATACAAATTTATATTAGTTTACAAATCCTCTGATGGTAAAAGCTGACATGGAGCAGCAACATAGTCAAGAGGAATTGAATCCTTTGGGGCCCTTGAGTTCAGCCACGGAGCTACAACATATAAAAGAGAAGGAAATAATAAACCGCAGGCAGCGGTGGAATACGAACGTCTATTATTGGTTCACGTTACGGCTTCACGGCGCTGATGGGAATGTGAGGTAATTTGGAAGTATTTACATAGTAATAGGACAACTCTCCCTCTAGACCCCTGGAGCAGTTTATGAGTTGATTGACAGGTGGATGGAGGTTGATGGGGCGAACCTAATGTTGCTTTAAATTTAATGAGCGGTTTAAACCCGATTTTTTTATTCTGCTTCACTTGCAGCCTTTTTGTTTGGCTTCTTCAGAAAGCATCACAGCTATCAAGAATCTGAATATGTAGGTACTTCATTGCTATGTTTCCCTTTTCTGTTACACAATTCTAACTTCTGTTTAAATGCTGTCGGAGTGAACTAAAATAAATAAAACGCTTCATTTCATTTCTCAAAAAGAGAAATCCCAGGTAAACCTTCCCTTGTTCTTCTTCTGTTAAAACGTCAGACACAGAATCTGCACAGAACCTGAGTCTATTTTGGTTCAGTGATGCTGAGGAGTCGGGAGGAGGGGGGTCGATATGCGTCAGCGTCTCGTCAGACGTCTAAAAACAGCAACCCGCGCTTATCACCAGAGAACGCGCACGTGCAGCGTTGAGGCTCCTCAGCGGGGCCCCGGGGGGGCAGATTGACCTCGGGCGGCGGGATTCAAGGTGCTCACAAGCATCAACTGTGCTGCTCAACGCAGATGAGTATTGATTGTGCAGTGCGGCAGTTTTCTTAACGTTGAACTTTAAAAGCTTCTGGTTCAGTAACCTTGAGACTGTCTGAACACCTGTGATGAGCTCACACTTTTGGTTATTAATAAAGTGACAGATTTGTGGGTTTGTGCTTTTCCGGCGTGGGAGGCGAGAGTTTTTATTTGAGGGGTATTTTTGCTGCCAGGTGACTGATAATAAAATTTCACACCCCCAAGGTCCAGAGGAAGAACATTAGCTGAGTTTTTGACTATTTTCGAAACACATACCTGGAGTTTTCGACTCTGACCAATACTGATTTCCTTAAATAGAGCTTGAACATCTTGGATCTTCTGGCACAACGCAACAAAATGAGTGACTTCGGTCAAAGGAAATAAATGGGGCCCCACACAGGCATGATTGACAGTCACGCCACACTTCAGGCCTCTCTTACACCATTTGTAGCAATACGTACGTAAAGTCATGTGAATAGTATATACAGTATATCTCACATAATCAAAATGTATTTAATCCTCATTTTTAAATGAAAAAAAAAGTTCTGTCCAACTAGAAGACAACAGACTGGTCAAGTCTGCACTTGTCCGTAAGAGAGCCTCCGATGACACTTCAAAGCCTTTTGACTCCAAATAAAACCTCTCATCAACTTGACAGCGATGGACTGCGTTTATGTTCGATGGGAGGAGCCGTTTCTCCAAGGACTCGCGATCATGTGACAAACATACAGACATCACATAATGCTGCTGGAGGTTTGTCTGCCTCTCTCATGGTGGAGAAGCAGAGGTTTGGGGCCCTCACACAGTGATCCGTTTCTGCCCTTTGCAGAGAAATGGAAATTGGAACTTGTTATTTGCTGTACGGCCACTATGTCACTCTGCCCCAGTGGTTTTTAACAGGAGAACATTGCTTTGTTGACGGAGACGTAGAGACTCCATGCAGAGTTTAGGGGTGACCCTGATGGTAAAACATTACTCTGTTCTCTATGTTGTTGCTTATTTTATTGGTAATGATTAGTACGGAAGTGTCTTTCCGATTACGGAAGATGGGATTGCATTTATAAAAGAATGGTAACCTCCCATCACAGGTGGGTTACAGTCGAGTTGTGTATTTAAACAGGCCCTATATCCAAATAAAAACACACCAAATAAAGTACCTTCTTAAATCTAAATAAAGTATCACATATTCCAGTAGTCGACTGTAAATTCAACACCCCAACAATACCTTTAAAAAAATAATGGTTAGTAACTATTTTAAAGGATAAATACGAGCAAGGTGGTTAATGTGATGGTTGCAGTGGTTAATGTTAATGATTCGCACACAGTGTATCCTACCGACCACGGTGCCGTCGCCTGGTCAATATCTCACCTCTTCAGCCTCATCTGTGCCAAATGATGGACTAAGACTAAGATATGAAGAGGGTAAAAAAGAATACCAATAGAATACATAACAAGCCTATTACAATCAGCACTGTGAGCATATTAGCATTTAGCTTATAGCGCTGCTCTTCAAGTTGCTTACTGTCATACTATCTGTTATTACAGGGAAGCAGTCGTAGAAATCTCAGATCTCCTCCAAAAATAATCAATAAATACATATTAAGGAAAATCATGTTAATCTGAGGCATGAAATACTGTGGAGCAGTGGTTTAATATATGAAACATATACACAACATAAGATGAAATGATACAAATGTGCACATTGCATTGATTGAATGTTCATAGTGTTGTGATGAAGTAGGCGTCTGTGATGGTTTCAGGGTGCTGAGTCCTCTTGGCCCGGTTTGGATGAGAAGTATTAATGGAGCTTTATTCTGGTCACAGACAACAAACGTCAGTAGTGAACAACTTCCACTTGTTTGGAGGTTGTTTAAAGTCACTGGGAAATGGCACCTGCTCCGACACACACCATTAAAGCATAATCTGCACATTAGTATTACACGATCCAAGGTCGGAATATTCCTTTTAAATCCATTAAGGGCAAACGGGTGTCAGGCGCCTCGCCACTAAAAATATCGTCATCGAAAGGCTGAGCGCCAAGCAGCCGTAAACAAGCACTCTGGTGTAACTCTAATTAAGGAATTATCCAGTGATACACAGACAGAATCTGCACTTATTCACTTAACACTACAACCAGCAGTACATCTGATCAAATCAGGGCGTTTGGAGGCCGAACCATCGCCCGGTTGGTTTGAAAGCGGCTGCCATCTCTGGTTCTGTCAAATGGAGCCAGTAGAGGAAATGAATTAAAACATTCTCTCTACTGCTTACGCCCGACTGTATGGATCTCCATGAGAAAATGACTCCACTTCTCCATTGATTTATTACGGCAGTCACGACTGTTAACATTGTAAACGTGACTTTTTAGTCTCAATCACTCCACATGATGTTCGTTTGGTTAAACGGTCCCACTTATAGTCAAATAGACCATAAAGTAGAACCTACTTTGACGCGGGCTCACTGGGATTGTGTGAAGAAAAGGAATCGTAAAAGCCTCACA